GCCTGAGGGAGGCGGGGCTGGGGGCGGGGCTCCGGGGCCTGAGGGAGGAGAGGCTCAGGGCTGGGACCCCTGGGTCTGAGGGCCGAGGGGCTGGCAGCGGGGACTCCTGGGTCCTGGGAGCCCGGAACCCGCCCCTCGCTGACCTCTCCCCACACCCCGCAGTCCCTGCCCGCATCGTGAACATCTCCGCGCCTGTAACAGTGAATGAGGGGGGTAATGTGAACCTGCTTTGTCTGGCTGTGGGGCGGCCGGAGCCCACCGTCACCTGGAGGCAGCTCCGAGGTGAGGACCCAACCCCTGACCCGAAGCCCCTTCCCCCACTCCACAGCCTGGGCCCGTCGGTTCCCCATATCCCTAGCTAGATTCCCAGAGTCCCCCTTCTCTCCACTCCGGATCCCCCCAACCCTTGCAGTGATTTGGCTCCCCCTCCCACCTCGACCCTGCTTATTTCCCCGTTGGACCCCTGATCCTTTGAGCCTTCACCAGTTGCCATTGCGGCCACGGTGATTTCCTGCAACCCACCTGCCAGACCCCAGCTTGCCCCCAAGCTGTCCCTACCCCCAGTATCCCCAAACCTTGCCCGCCAGCCACAGGACTCTCCTGGACTCCCGGCCCCGCCACCAGAGGGCCTGAGCCAGGTCACAGCCCGTGGTCCCCATGTTCGTGTCTCCTGGTCACTTCACCCCTCTCTGCGGGGTGCTCCAGCCCAGCAACTCTCAGTGTTGTCTGTCCCCTGAGCAGCGGCATTACCCGGGGACTTGCCAGAAATGCACACTCCGGGGCCTGCCCAGGACCTGGCGAGCGGAAATTGCCCGCCCTACCCCGTTTTAACAAGCCCTTCGGGTGGTTCTGATGGCGGAGCTGAGACCCACCACCGTAGGCTACCTGCCCCCCAACCCCCACCCCCAGACAGCGCCCAGGTGCCTGGATGTGACCTCCCAGATCCCAGCATCTCTGCCTGGATCTCCGCCGCCATTTCCCAGATCCCTAGATCCTCCTTCACTGGGCCTTTGGAGACCAATGGTCACTGGATCCTCTGAGACCCCAAGTCAGGTCTCGGACCCTGGACCCACCCCCACTGAGTCATCTGAGCCCCACAACCCTGGTCTTGAGATCATGGCTCCCCCAGATTCCCTAAGTCCCAGAGGGTCTTCTCAGCCCAGTGATCTGTCATAAGACCCCAGGTCTTGGGATTGCTGATCCCAATCACCGGATCCAGATTCTCTGAACCCCAAGAGCTAGATCCCAGAACTGCCCCCCCCATTGGATCTGTGCTCCTTGGATCTTTCTGAGCCCCGAAATACTGGGAGCCTCCCCACCAGGTCATCTGATGTGAGTCATGGGCTCTCAGACCCTTGAATCTTCTGTATCCCACAATCTAGGACCTTCCGCATGCCCGGACCCTCACTCCCTGCCCCCACACCCAGCAGGAGATCCCAGTGCCACCCCCCACCCCACGCCCCTCCTGTCTCCCGCCGACCCGGGCCCTCCAGGCCCTGCTGCGCCCACCCCGCTGATGTGTGCCCGTGTTGTCCCGTGTTGTCCCGTGTTAAGTGTCTGTGTCTGGCCCCGCCTCCTCCCCTCCCCACCCCCCACAGACGGCTTCACCTCCGAGGGCGAGATCCTCGAGATTTCCGACATCCAGCGGGGCCAAGCTGGGGAATACGAGTGCGTGACTCACAACGGGGTCAACTCGGCGCCGGACAGCCGCCGCGTGCTGGTCACAGTCAACTGTGAGGCCCCTGGCACTGGGCGCGGAAGCGGGGCGGGTCCCGGGTCTCCGAGGAAGAGGGGCCTGAGCAAGGAGAGGCCTGGGGACCTGGGCTCCCGGCACGGAGGGAGGAGGGGGATGGGGGTGGGCAGGACCCCTTGGTTTGCGCCTGGCTGGGAGAATCCGCTGACCCTCGCCCCTCGCCAGATCCTCCGACCATCACCGACGTGACCAGCGCGCGCACCGCCCTGGGGCGGGCCGCCCTCCTGCGCTGCGAGGCCATGGCGGTGCCCCCCGCGGACTTCCAGTGGTACAAGGATGACAGACTGTGAGGACGGCTGCGGGGCGCCGGGCCACGGGAGGAGGGGGTCCCTCGCGATCTTGGCCTGCAGTGGGGCGGGGCATGCGGAAGGTAGCGGAGTCCCCGGCCCCCAGGACTAGGACGATGGGATCCGCTGGGACTGTGGGGACATTCAGGAAACGTGGGTCCCTCGGTGCTGAGCGCCGGAGCCCGGTCTCCCCGGGCCGTTCAGGACAAGCTCGGGGATCGATGCCGAGTATCTGGCAGGGAGCTTTGGGAGACCCCTGGGGCTGCAGCCCAGCAGGGCCTGGGAGACCACGGGGGCGCGCGGCGGGAGAAGCGA